CTCCTGACTTCAGATCAGCCCAGCTCTGGTCATTGTGGCCATCTGGGGAGTGAACCAGCAGATGGAAGATCTCTCTCTCTCTGCATCTGCCACTCTGTAATTCTGCCTTTCAAATAAATAAGTCTTGAAGAAAAGAAGTTTTAGACTTTGATTAAGTGTAAATTATCCCTGTACTCAATTATAGATTTTAATTTTTTCTTGTATCTAGGAAATCTTTGCCTAACTTAAAGTAAAAAAAAAATTTCTTCTATGATTTTTTTTTTCTGGAAGTATTGTAGTTTTCAGAACTACAGTTAGATCTGTGGCATATTTTCAATTTTGTAAATAGAAGCTATTTTATTGGAAATTAGTATCTCATTGTGCTAACAACAAGTGTTGAAAATGCTATACTTTCTCCCCTGCACTGCAATAGTGCCTCTGTAGAAAACCTGTTCACTGTTTGTGTTTGGATCTTCTCTGGAACCTCTTTTGTGTTCCAGTCATCTGGCTTTCTGTATGACAACAGCACACTTTAGATTAGTATAAATTTATAACACTTAAAAATCATCCCTTTGATTTTATTATTTTTTCAGAGTTATTTTGGCTATCCTAGATTCTTTGCATTTTCATATGCACTTATATCAGCTTGTTACTTTAAAAATAACCAGGTTGCTAAATGAAAGATCTCTGTGAGTGAGATCCCAGCAGAAAGAATGGGCCATCAAAGGAGATACCATTCTCTGAAGGGAGGAGAGAACTTCCACTATGATTATGGCCTTATCTAAATAAGACCAGAATTTGTGAACTCAAGAGGATTCCATAGCCTTGGCAGCTTGAGATAAGAGCCTTGGGTGATTACTGACATCATAAATAAGACTGTCAATTGTTAAATCAACAATGGGAATCACTGTGCACCTGCTTCCCATGTAGGATCTCTGTCCTCAATGTGTTGTACTATGTGAATTAATGGTAAAACTACTACTCAGGCTGGTGCCATGGCTCACTGGGCTGATCCTCTGCCTGTGGCACCAGCACACTGGGTTCTAGTCTCAGGTGGGGTGCCGGTTCTGTCCCGGTTGCTCCTCTTCCAGTCCAGCTCTCTGCTGTGGCCCAGGAAGGCAGTGGAGGATGCCCAGGTGCTTGGGCCCTGCACCCGCATGGGAGACCAGGAGGAAGCACCTGGCTCCTGGCTTTGGATTGCAGCAGTGCACTGGCTGTAGTGGTCATTTGGGGGGTAAACCAATGGAAGGAAGTCCTTTCTCTCTGTCTCTCTCTTTCTCACTGTCTTACTCTGCCTGTCCAAAATCAGGCCGACTTTATCGTTGTTTTTTTTTTTAAAGATTTTATTTATTTATTTGACAGGTAGAGTTACAGACAGAGAAAAAGAGAGACAGATAGAAAGATCTTCCATCTGCTGGTCACTCCCCAAATGGCCAGAACTGGGCCAATCCAAAGCCAGGAACTTCATTCCGAGTCTCCCACCTGGGTGCAGGGGCCCAAGGACTTGGGCCATCTTCCACTGCTTTCCCAGGCCAAAGGAGAGAGCTGGATGAGAAGTGCAGCAGCAGGGACTCAAACTGGAGCCCACATGGGATTACAGCACTGTAGGCAGAGGCTTAGGCCACTACACCACAGTGCCAGGTCCCAGACTTTATCTTGAAACTTAACTTTACTCTGACTGAAGTTATCCCATCTCTCAGATATTCATCTGCATGTTCAGGCTGTTGAAACAAGATGTCGTGTAAAATGCTAATGGACCACGTGATTTGTGAGCTCATTTCCTTTAGCAATAAAATTTTTGTATGATATGTTATGCCCACTTAGATTGTCCCCAAAGACCACCAAGGGGCCTATACCATTGTAAAACACATGAGTTTTATTGCAGGTCTGGGCTTGGGCGATCAACTATCACTGATGCCATGGGTCTGGTTGAAAGCCCCAACTTCAGTTAATGGGGTTTTTATAGGGTTTTCAGAGACAATCTATACATTCTAGCACCATTCAGCAAATCATCTCATTCCATGGGAAATTCAAAGAACATCTCTTAAAATTGATTAGTGCATCCAGTGGCAGGCATGGACCTATTAAAAGTGGTGGGATGGCTTTTGGGGTTGATGCCTTTTAAAATGATTGGCTAAAGTATAGGGTCTGAGCCACTAGGGCATATGTGCCAAACTGCAGGGTCTCAGGATATTATCAATTACCTTAAGTGCCTGAAAAGACACCTGAAACTTTAGGTATCTCCCTGCTATCTGATGATTGGCTGTTGCTAGGCAGGGTTTATTGCAAGGGGAGTTCATTTATTTATTTTTTCTTTCATGAGCTTCAGGGTTCAGGGCCGGTCAGGCCTGAGTTACAAGATGGAGGCCTATTCTAAAATAGCTGCACCTTGATCCAGGCTCAGGTTTCTCAGAGATACAACACAGTTTACTCATACATTCACCTATTGAAGAATATCCTGTTTCAAAATTTAGTTTGATTTTTATATTATTGCTCATGTGGAAATTTGATTTCTTCAATCATTGCAGTTGGATAATGTTTGCATTTTGGATTAGTCCAGATGTATTCTTCCTCTTAGTCTTTTGAAAACTGTGTAGAATTACATTGGTTTTTCCCACTTTTTCTCTAGTTTTATTGATGTCTTCATCCTGTCACAATGAAATTGATTATGAAAACAGGCTGGTGTTCAGACATCAGGACAGACAAGTGCTTTTGGGAGCTTGGCTCAGGGGCAGTGATGTGGCTTCTTTATGTTGACACTATCCTTGCTGACAGAGGCCATGCCATGCACTGAGCAGTGCTGTGGGGCCTGCTTTGCCATGTCTGAGATTAATTTTAGGCAGCCAAGGCATGAGCCACGTTTTGCATGGAGCTAAGGCCTCACAGCCAGCATGATTCATGTAGTAACCAGTCCTGAAGTGAGCAATCCTTTGCCAGCAACAGGAAGTCCACCAGAGGCACACTCACTGTCCTCTGTGAGACATGGGGAACTCCTGGCCACACTGCCATGGGTCCTTGCCCCTTGTAGAGACTCCAGCTCCAGGCTCCACCTCTGTCACTGTGGGACTGTCCTTGTTCTCTGCAGTGATGCTGGCAACCCAGTTTCCTGTAACAGAGAATGGGGAGCCATGCCGGGGTCATGCTGAGGTCAAGGTGGTCAAAGTCAGAGGGGCCTCTGGGTCCATGCAGGAGGTGCTGCAGATCCTCAGGCTAAGTTTTACTGATTTTCAAGTACAAATGATCTATGGCCTGACCAGAGTCACTCCATTTTGTCCCTGATTGTCCTCTATTTTTTTCTAACCAGTCCCACAACTGCTAGCTACTCAAAAACTAATCTTCTGAGAGGTTTTTTGTAAGTTTATTTACATTAAGTGCTGGGAAACTTGTTAATATCCCCAAGATAAGCATAATGTTGCTTGCTCTAGCTCCTGTAACAAATGCTTGGCTTTGTAATTAACTTCAACAAGATATGGTTTTGGCCTTTAGAAGCTTAACCTTGAGCTCCTTCAGGGCAGTATGATTTGGAGAGCACACGCCCCTGTGCAGCCACTGGCTTTTAGAAATAAAAGACTCCATAATTAGGCCCTGAGACTTCAGCACTTATTAATATTTCTGAAATTAATAATCTGTGTGGGTTCTTGCCATGAATTCAGAGACAAATTCTGAATACTGGCTCAAATAGACCAGATGATAAGCTGAGTTTTTAAGCTTTTATTCAGTGAGAGAAACACATAGGAGAGTGAGGGCTCTATCTAAAGGAGAAAGGAAAGTCTGGAAATTAAGTAGGGGCCATACCAAGCAGGGAGCAGGCCAAGAGCTGTGGACTTGTCCTGTGAGGCCCACACCATTGGGGAGGGTGAGGCAATGGTGTTCTTCCACAGGAAGCACCAGGGACAGGCTTCAGTGAACATGTCCACCTTTATTAATGACCATGTACACTTTCAAAGGGCAGGCAGAAGGGGCATAACTAATTCAGGGCAACCCTAACTCTATAGGATAGAACCAACACTGGCACCAATATGCATCTCCAATTAGCTTGAAGGTCTCATAGTTAGGGTAGCTTTCCAGGTGGGCCTGGAGCACCCCCAGCAACAGTTTACCTAATTGGCAGAAGGTGGGGGTGGGAGAAAATGTGCCTGAGGCTCCCACCTCCCACCATCAGTCAGGCTAGCCACATGGGCTAGGCAGAAAGTCTCACAGGATCACCCACATCTCCCCCCTTTGTTTTAGGGCAAGTGTGACTCTGCTTAGTGTGGCACAGCAACAAGCCGCAGCCCACAATAAGCTTTAAATTAAATTGAAGAATGCCTAGCATGGGGATTAAGGGCAGGGAGGAAAAGAAGGGCAAGGGAAAAAGGCCAGGCCCACCATGTTTCAGGCCTTTGTAATTGGCAGGCGGTGCACAGGTATGGGAAAGCAGGGGCATGAGATCACATGGGGGCTGGGTACAGTGTGATGAAGGCGTAGCCTTCCAGTTCTCAAGTCTAATGATATATGACTGCCTGCATCATCCCCCCTTCAGAGACTCCATTCCCTTAATCCTAGGGATGTTGAAGGGTGTAGAATCATCACATCTTCTATAGCTGCTTCCTGTTTATGAGGGATGTAGTGCAGGCCCTGCCTGTCCTCAGTCTGGAAGTCTCTGCCTATCTCATCTAACAAATTCTCTTTGTGAGCTGGAGCAATCTTGGTCACCACCAATGTCTGTGTCCCCTGCATGGTCAGTGACTCCCAGAAGTTGTTGAGTTCTGCAACATATAAGTTTGTAAATACATATGAGCAAAACTGGAACATGACCAATTGTAACTGGAGTACCCCTTTAAGATGAAAAGACCACATCCTACAGACTCCCAGATAGTGGGTGGTGATACATTATAAACACATTTAGCTTGAGTATAGAGAATTATATTAGAAGAACACATTAGGAGTTTTATTGTTGATAACAGAGAGAATCAAAGAGGCAGGTACACCATGCCTGCCTTCAGGAGCAGCACTCTTGATGTGAGGAAAGCAAGGCTTTACTTTTCTTTTTGCTTAAGATCTCTGGCTTACAGGAATAATCAGGCATATCTTTTGAGTACACCTGTGAGGACTTGAGAGGTAGACATTAATCCTAATTTTACTGAGGTAGTCATGTTCAGTAGCACCTGGTAAGGTCCCTTCCATTTAAGCTGTAGCCCATCTGAAGAGGATCTTTCTATGAATGGCTTGTTCAGGGAAAGGTGCTGAAGTTGGTTTGTAGAGGGTCAGCTTTCAGAGACTGGGTCCAGGGTTTGGCATTTCAGGTTGCTATCCACACAGGCTGCAGAGTGATCTCTGGAAAGCACAAGCAAAACCTTTGCCCATCATTATGAGAGGATCAGGCCCCTTCCATTGTTGGGTGGTTGGGTCCCTCCATCAAACCAGAGGCAATTGGGTTGCACCTGTGAAAGGTCTCCAGTGTCTCACTGCTGGTGGCTCTCCAGGGGGTGAGACCTGTAAGAACTTTACGGTGAAAGGAGCAAAGTTAATACACTCATAGTGGGGGTACCGTACTCTCCCCTCTGTTTTTAAGCATAGTCTTATGGTCCTGCATGGGAAGTTAATGCACAGTGACTCCTGTGGTTAATTTCACAATTCACACTCTTTTGTGTGCTGTCAGTGATCACCCAAGGCTCTTGACATGAACTGTCTAGGCTATGGAAGCCTTCTGAATCTACAAAATCCATCAATATTTAGAGAAGGCCATAAGCAAAGTGAAAGTTCTCCCTTTGAAGAGAGTACATCCTTCTTTGATGACCACTTCTTTCCACAGGAGTCTCACCCAGGGAGACTCTCCATGTAGGCACACCTTTTTGCACAAGTGTCCTGACTTTCCATGCCTGAAATGCTCTTGTGGGCTTTTTAGCCAGACCAGAATGCCTTTAGGGATGACTCTGAGGTCATTGAGCATTACTTAGAGCAATTGCCATTCTATGAGTCTGCTGTATGGACTGCTTCCCATGTTCAAGCATTTACTACTCTTTAATTCTGTTGATATGATCACTTTAACAGTGCCTCCTACATGATCAACTTAAAACTTAATGCAATCAAATACAGTCACTTTTAAACTTAATCATATATATATATATATATAAATATGTTAAAACTTAAGATGTCACTTTCACCATCTAGCCCAAGGGTCAGATTTGATCAAATCATAACTCCTTTAAAACTCAGTTGTTTTAAACAATTAGAACTTAAGAGGCATTAAGAGAACATAGTAGATTACTTTAAAATAACACAGAATCTGTCCCTTTGGTTGTTCAAAAGTCAGAAATAAAACCTTAAATTTAAGGACCTGGTGCATTGAATCAAATCCCATAATTTGGAACAGTTTTAAGAGTCAGAACTAGGGAAGAAAGAATAGCACCCGCATGGAGACCAGGAGGAAGCACCTGGCTCCTGGTTTCAGATCAGCGCAGCATGCTGGCTGCAGTGCACCAGCCGTAGTGGCCATTTGGGGGGCTGAACCAATGGAAGGAAGACTTTCTCTCTGTCTCTGTCTCTCTCTCTCTCACTGCCTAACTCTGCCTGTCAAAAAAAAAAAAAAATCAACAAATGACAAAAGCTGATGAGGATGTGGAAAAAAGTTATGCTGGTCCACTGCTAGTGGGAATGTAAACTGATGCAAGCCACTGTGAAAAACTGTATGGAGATATCTTACAAATTCTGATTATAGGCCTACCATTTGATCTAGCCATCCCACTCCATGGAATTTACCCAAACGAAATTAGCATATGCAAGAGTTATCTATAACCCCATGTTCATTGCAGCACAATTCACAATAGCTGAGATCTGGGAACAATCCAGATATCAATTGTTGACTTGATAAGAAAATTATGGTATATACACACTATGGCGTACTACTCAGTTATTAAAAAAGAAAGAAAGAAAAGAAACCCTGTCTTTTGCAACAAGATAGATGAAGCTGGAAACCATTATACTTAGTAAAATAAACAAGTCTCCAAAGACAGATATCCTATATTTTCCCTGATCTGAGGTAGCTAATAGAGTACCTAAATGTAATGTATTGGAGTTAGATACACATTTTGAGATTTGATGATTGTTTAGAGTCCTTGTCTCTTCCATTGAGTAACAGTGAGTTTTTTAAATTCATTTTTTTCTTCATACTATTTGATGACTTGTTGAACTCTTACTTAGTGTAGGGTTAACTATACAATCATTAAGTAAACTGAAAACAGATTTTGTAAAAGTTAAGTGGGAATGTGAGAGGGAAGAGGAGAAAGGGTTGGACTGTGTGTGGGAGGGAGGGTATCAGGGGAAGTGTCACTTACATTCATTAGTCTGTATATATGAAATATATCAAACTTATATTAAATAAAATTTTAAAAGGAAGTAAATATTTAAAATTCAAAATATTTATACCAATAACAAGGAGAATTTTAAAGGTGTTTATATATATAATATATATGTGTGTGTGTTTACTTTATGACATACAATATAAATGTACATATATATAATTTGTAATATAAATATATAGAGCAACCTTTTGAAATTTTATAATGTATTTATCATCAGAAAAGAATAGCTCAGCTTTCTGTAATAATCCAGTTTCTGATCATTACAAGAATGAAGAGTAAGCCACCAAGTTGTAGCTCATAATCTCTGTTTCTCTGTGTCTCCAAGTCTACCAACCTCTAAAATTAAATAAACATACCTAATTCTGGGATAAAATCACATTAAGATCCCACTATTTTCCCGCATAATTTCAGGAAATATACTAGTACTAGACACACAGTGGCAATTTATCTATGTATAAAATATATATATGTATATATGTTACATATATTCATATATATATATATTACATTGAGGAGAAAGAATTATTACTCTTGGCTAAATGGCCCTGAGGACACTGTGTACCTCATAGTTTCCAGGCAACTTAAAGAATGTTGGGGGTGATGATGATCTTACAATAAAAGTGAAATCACCATGGCCATGGTACATGACTTTTCTATGCACATATGTTTTCTCATTTTGGAGTCTCTTCATGTGAATTGATTAATGGCAGAAAAATTTTTTCACATTCATTAAATTGACATTTTACTGTATGAATTCTCTGATGTTAGTTGATGTTTAATTTCTTGTTTTTTTTTAATATTTTTATTTATTTGACAGGTAGAGTTACAGACAGTGAGAGGGACAGAGATAAAGGTCTTCCTTCTGTTGTTTCACTCCTCAATGGCCACATGGCCAGAGCTGCACTGATCTGAAGCCAGGAGCCAGGTGCTTCTTCCTGGTCTTCCATGTGGGTGCAGAGGCCCAAGCACTTGGGCTGTCTTCTACTGCTTTCCCAGGCCACAGTAAAGAGCTGGATTGAAGACGGGCATCTTGGGACTAGACTGGCACCTATATGGATGCCAGCATAGAAGGTGGAGGATCAACCTATGGCTCCATGGTGCCAGCCTGATGTTTAATTTCTGGCTATGGTTTTTTTGAGGATCTGTTGCACTTGAAGGATATCACCTTTTTGAGTTGGCATATTTATGCAAGCCTGAATTCTATGAAATATACTTCCACATTCATTACACTGCTAAGAAACCCCTTGGGTGGAATTTTCTGATGTATAATGCCATTTCCTGACAAATGGCTTTTGTCACACTAATAATATTTCTGAACTTCTTTTTTTAACAATTTAATTTTTGTTATTTGAAAGACAGAGTTAGAGAGACAGAGAAGCAGAAAGAGGTCTTCCATTCTGCTACTTCACTCCCCAGATGGATGCAATGGCTGGAGCTGCAGCGATCCAAAGCCAGGAGTCAGGAGCTTCTTCTGGGGTCTCCCATGTGGGTGCAGGGCCATCTTCTACTGCTTTCCCAGGCCATAGCAGAGAGCTGGATCAGAAGAGGAGCAACTGGACTAAACCAGTGCCCACATGGTATGCCAGCATTTCAGGCCAGGGCTTTAACCTACTGTGCCACAGCGCTGGTCCCAACCTTTCTTCCTTATGGGAGTGCCTATTGTATGGGATGTAATTTCCAGCAAAAGGCTCCTGTCACATGGTTATGTTGCTTTTGCAAAAAGTCCTTCATATTTACTATATTCTTAAGTTCTCTCCCCTGTTTGATCTACATGTTATGAGGTATTCCTTCTGACAAAAGGCTTTCCCACATTTATTACAAGATTTCCACATGTAATAAATTCTCTGATGTTATATTGTGTGATTTTGGCAGAGTTTCTCCAACATTCATTCCATTCATAAGGTTTCTCCCCCCATGTGAATTCTGATGTTTTATGAGGTGTTACTTATGGATAAAGGCTTTCCATATGCTTATACCCAAAGTGTTTTCCCCCATATGAATTAGATGATGTGCAATGAGGGCTGAATTATGGGGAAAAGCTTTCCAAGTCATTATGTCCAAAAGGTTTCTCTTCCTGTGCATTTTCTGATGCATTCTGAGATGTGACTTATTGCCAAGGGCTCTTCCACAGTCATTGCATGCATGAAGTTTCTCCCCGGTGTGAATTCTCTGGTGTGATATGAGCTATGATTAATACATATAATTTATAAAGGCTTTTCCACACTTACTAGTATAATAAGGGTTTCTGCCCTGTGTGAACTGTTTTGATATGAGTATAACTTATAGAAAAAGGCTTTCTGCAAGTCATTACAATTTATAAGGTTATTTCCCTGTGTGAATCCTCTGAAGCATTTGGAGTTGGAGATTAAGTTTTTCCACAGTCATTACACTCATGAAATTTCAATACTGTGTGCATTCTCTGGTGCATTCAGGTTTGACTTTTGTCCAAAGGCTTTTTCCAGTCATTACATTCATAAGGTTTCTGCCCTGTGTGAATTCTCTGATGCTGATGAAGGTTGACTTATGGCTAAATGCTTTCCACAGTTATTACAATCGAGTTTTCTACCCTGTGTGAAATCTCTGCTGTGATTGAGGTTAATCTTTTGTCCAAAGGCTTTTCCACAGTCATTACATTCATGAAGTTTCTGCCCTGTGTGAATTCTCTAATGTAATATGAGGGCATGACTTGTGTCCAAAGGCTGTTCTACAGTCATTACATTTATGAGGTTTCTCCCCTGTGTGAATTTGCTGGTGTATGAGGAGGTCTGACTTTGTCCAAAGGCTTTTCCACAGTCATTACATTTATAAGGTTTCTCCCCTGTGTGAATTTGCTGATGCATGATGAGGTTTGACTTTTGTCCAAAGGCTTTCCACAGGTCATTACATTTATAAGGTTGCTCCCCTGTATGAATTCGCTGGTGCACGATGAGGTGTGTCTTTTGTCCAAAGGCTTTTCCACAGTCATTACATTTATGAGGTTTCTCTCCTGTGTGAATTCGCTGATGCATGATGAGGTTGACTTTTGTCCAAAGGCTTTTCCACAGTCATTACATTTATTATGAGGTTTCTTCCTGTGTGAATTCGCTGATGTTCCTGAGGCCTGACTTGTGTCCAAAGGCTTTTCCACAGTCATTACATTTA